AAAAACACATTAGCACAGTTAAGAAGGCACGTTGAGTTGCTCAAAACAGTGTTTAAATACAGCTGTAATTACAGGATTTGATCTGAAAAGGAAACAAGTAGGGAGGCAGATGATGTCAGCAAATGGAAGGCAGCTGAGCTGCTGAGTTGAAGGCTGGGGCAAAATGGGGAAGGGACCTGAGCAATGCACCAGAACAGGCCCCACCGACACAGAGGAACAGGAGGCACAGGGTGCCACGCACAGGACTCTGCAGCTTCCACGCTCACCTGTGACAGTGTCTGTGGTCAGGTGCTGGTGCTCGGTCCCACGGACCACTCATAGACTCCACACTCACCCGTGACAGTGCACTCTGTGGCCAGGTACTGGTACTCGGTCCCACGGACCACTCATAGACTCCACACTCACCCGTGACAGGGTACTCTGTGGCCAGGTGCTGATACTCGGTCCCACAGACCATTCATAGACTGGCAAAAGTTGCACATGAACCAATGCTGCTTTTCTGTGTCATAATGACATCATCCCTGTATCTGCCAACCACACAGGGCAAATATGTACTAGAAAAACACATGTGACAGCAGACCAGCCTGCCCGGCCTCCTGCTAGGCTTCTCCTGCTCAAGCTCCCTTAAGCACTGCAGCCACTCCAGGGAAGCTTTGTTGATTCAGCGCATCCATATGTGCAGACGCCGTGCTCACACGGGGTGGGGAATACCCAAAAATGCAAGAGTCACATTTTCTGCAAGCGGCTCAGCATTTGGCAAGGGTGCCCATGAATAAATCAATGTGAGACAGTTGTCAGAAAAGAGAGATGTACACAGTTCGATCACTATTCCAGCTGTCGAACCTACACCACTTTTATCTGTTGACTTGGGAGGCAGTTTTATGGCATCCTTAGGAGCAACAACTTAAGGTTTAAAGCTGCCTGGATTCTTAATCTGCCTCTCCTGGGAAATGTGCGCTGAGTCACTCCATGCTCCCTGTGTCTGTTTTCTATAAGGCAGAGGTAATAATAACAGGACTGTCTTCCATGTTGGAGGAATAAATGAAATCACGCACATAAGGCACTTAGCACTGTGCCAATAATGCTTGGAGCTGATGCCCACTCTCCCTTTGCTAGAGACTGAAGCATCTTGAAGGCAGAGAATTCCTAGGGCTTTTTGTCGTGGCCCTTTCTGTGCCCATCACATAGCAGGCACCTCACAATGGTCTGCTGCAAGACTGAATGCTAATGGGTAAGAATATGCATTTGAGAAATGCCAAAGGCAATTCTCTTTCTTTACTCCTTTTGAACCTCACAATACCATGAAGGAGGCAGAGCCAGCAGTGGGATCTGCACCTTTCTGATGATGACACTGAACCTCGGAGAATGAGGGCATCTCACCCAAGGCCACACGGCTGGTCAGCAGTGACCAGCACCAGCATCCCAGCCTGTGAGCCCCATGCCTTCCAGCCTGGACCACAGCCACATCTGTGCCTATAGAGTCCTGGGCTGGCACAGCGCTGGGCTAAACCACCTCACAGCCTGCACTAGGGTATTAAACACAGTTTCTAATTCTGACATCTTGGTGTTTCTCGATCACAAAATCCCATTAGCTCAACACGCCTACAAAATACTCGTATGTGAGACAAGATGTGGTTATTTTTAAACTGCATTTCAAACCGTTCTGTGTGGGGAGATGTATTTTTGGAGCACACTGACTTTAATTATGCACCTGTGACAGTGGAACCACACTGCATGTGGCACTGGCTCTGGAAGACACAAACCACAAAAGTGGGCTGACCTCGTCCCCATTTCCCTGTGTCACCAGCAGGCAGCACAGCCCTGCTGACACCTCGATTTAGCCTGGTGAGCTTCCCATGGGGGACTGGGGCTGTATGTCGAAGCCCACAGACACACACTGCAAGTGACGCTGCCCTCTCTGGGGTTGACACCAGGTACCTGACTGGGGTCAGAGCCAGAGGCTAGGGATGGCGGGCCCAGATTTGGCTGTTAAAGCAGCGACTTCCCAGTCTAAGAGCAGGTACAGAGACTTTCCTGTGAGAAGGCATCAGGGTAAATAAGACACCACTGAAGAAAGAAAAACCCATGAAGACAACTCGCACTGATGTGATTCCCAAACACGGCCTCCTTTTCACCCCGACCACAGGCAGGGGAGTGCGCTCAGTCAACGCGTTCACCGAGGGGAGCCTGGCGTCTGCCTGGGGTGGGCCTTCCATGGGTGAAGGACTACCTGAAGCCAGGAAGATGAAGTGAGGACAGCCTCGCCAGCTGCTCCCTGCTGGACACTCCATCCACAGCGAGGCTCCTGTGCAGCCCAGCAAAGGCAGGTCAGTGAATAAACACCATCTGCACCTGAGCCAGGTCTCCATGCATGTCCTCGGTGCACCTCCCATGTTGCAGGTGCTATTCTGCACACCAGGGGCTGGGCAAGCAGGAGAAACAAGGCCACATCTAACATGGGGCTTACTCACAAGGAAGGGACAGATAAAACCCAAGGAAATAAGTAAATGAAGGTTCAGAGAGGGACCCAGTCACCCAGGGCCAACCTGGGACTTTCCTCATATGGTAAGTAGAAGCCACCAGAGCCTTTCAACAGAGGAAGGAGATGATCCAGGGAATGTTTTAAAATCAGAAGTCACCTAAGGTCACCACTCAAGGAACCCTGTGAGTGATCGGGACTCTCGTCTTTCTGATGAGGCAACTGAGCCTCAGAGACATGAGATCATTGTTCCAAAGGCCCCCAATCTAGAAATGTCAAGGCCAAGGTCTGCACTCAGCATGCCTGCCTACAACGTCTCATTGGCACACCCTGCTTGGCACTCTGCCGGTGGAATTCCCAACTGAAGGGACACACACAACACCATGCCCCCCAACCTTCCCATTCAACCCCAACACATTTAGGATTAACAGGACCTTTTAATTTTTTACCGAAAGCACAAATAAACATGGACACTTTCTCTTTTTCAAAAGATAATTTCAATTATAGTGAAAGCATGCAAAGCATCAGATGACATCTCCCCTGATGAATGCACAAAACAGGCTGCACACGCCCTGCTTGGGCCTGACCGTTATTTCCTCAGAGGACTGGATCCCCTTCTAGGGTACTGGAGGCGCTGTGTGAACATGAACTTAGCTCCGGCTCAAGCTTTGAGGGCTCATGTGTTCATCCTCTCACAAAACATAAGAGATTTGTTTGCAGTTGACAGTTGTGCACATCCAAATATTTCTTAATAGTTATTATTCTTTTTTTACACGAGTATTTATAAACCAACCTTCGGATCTCATTAAAGTTAGTTCTACAAATGTTCTACCTGAATTCCTCTGAACTAAAAAGTGGCGGAGGTTAAACAGTTCGAAAGTCTGTTTGATGCGGTGCAGTCTGAGGGGTGGGGTTGGAGAAACAGCAAAGCTTGGAGTCAGAGCTTGGCTCAGATGTCCCCAGTCCCATGAGCTCCCTGGGAAGGAACCTTATCTGTTCGTACACAGTTCCCAGCACAGCAGCAGCCCCTTGCACATTTATACAGATTGTTGGGGGAGTGAGGGGTCCGCTCTGCCACTTGGAAGCCATTAGCTTTGAGTGCACCCTTGATGGCCCTCAGGACCATGGGCAAGGAACCTCCTCCTTCCCTAGACCAGAGATGGTGCATGTGCAAAGGGACTTGGAAACTACTCCCCACACAGAAGAGCTCTAGAAAGAAAACTAGAATACGGTGCCATTAGAGAGCCACACGGGACGGCAGAGATCAAGTGCTAAGCTGAGAAAGAACAGATCGGCAGGAGGTGGGGCAGGAAAAAAGGCCCTGGGGATGGGACGGCAGAATAACTCCCTACCCAAAGATGGCCACACTCTAACCCGCAGAACCTGCACATATATTAGATTACACCGCAGAGAGGAATGAGGGTCACAGATGGAATGAAGGTTGCTTGAGGAAGGGAGATGATCCCAGGCTATGCAGGTGGGCCCAGTGTAATCTCAAGGATCCTCAAAAGGGGAACAAGAAATCAGAACAGAGAACCAGAGAGACGGTCACATGAAGACTCCACCTGCCTTTGCTGACTCTGAAGAAGGAAAGAGCCACTAGCAAGGAACAGGGCAACTTCTCAAGACTGACAAGGGGAAGAAAATTGATTCTCCCTATAGTCTCCAGAAAGGAGCACAGCCCTGCACACCTTGACTTAGCCCAGTGAGACGTCTGTCCTCCAGAACTGTAAGAGAATACATTTGTGGGAAGAGGCTACATTTATTTGTCACAACAGCAATAGGAATCTCATGCATGGATCAGGTGGGATTCATGTGAGTGGGGCATGGTTGGGCAGTAGAAGTTTCTGGCAGGGGAACCTGCTACAGAAAGGGTCTGGAGTCAAGAATTGCATGGCATGTAGAGTGTGCAGGGAGGAGCTCACTTTCCTGGAGCAAGACCTTGGACTGATGGGACTGACAGAGAGGGAGGCCTGACACTCTTGAGGCCCAAGTTAAGAAAGGCTCTTGAGCCTCCAAGAGGGAGACCAGCCAGAATGTGCATGGCCCCAGGAGCCTGGGGCTTGACCTGGGTGAACGCAATGGAGGGAGCCACAGGAAAGCCTAGAAGATGTGTGTGTGGCAGAGACAAGAAGCATTGGCAGGGAGGCAAGGGAAGACAAATGCCACTGCCTCATGTGCCACGGCTCTGCCCCGCCATGCCCCAGGCATTCCACCTTCTCCTCCTGTCCTTTCCAGACCAACAGCATGTGGAAGAGAAGTGTTCAAAAGGCGGAAAAGGAACAACCTGGGTCCAGGTACTGGTGGTCTCACTTTTACTCACGACAGTCGTTGGAGAAGACATTGCCTCCCTGAGTCTCAGAGCTCTCACTGTAAAATTAGGATCATTCAGCAATATTCTTTCTTACTGTGAGAATTCAGGCTAATGCATTTTAAATCCTGGGCATTGCCTGACCCAAGCTCAAGGAACCAGAGCAATAAACAAGGCGGTCAAAATCCTTACAACCACAGGGCCAGGTACCTGGATGTTGAGTCTCCCTCGATGTGCGCCCAGGCCATAGCGCTTCACCGTGGAGGCATGGAGCTGGAAGTCTGTGATTTTTAAGGTTTCCAGACCAAGAGGTGGGCAACCTGGAAAGGACAATGCTTGTTAAAAACAAGGACAGATGCTGAAAGGGATGAGTTTCTTATTTTCTAAATCTGGCCGCGTGCTTTTCCATTTTCCCCTGAACTGCCACCCACAGGCATGCCCGGTCTTTCCAGACACGGTTGATTGAACTGTCAACATTAAGCCTATGTTCTTTCTTGTTGGCATTTGCTTTAGGGGTGTTTTTGCTCTGATATTCCTTCTTTTTTGCTGTCCATGCTACTGTCTGAGGCTGTTCCCAATTAAGGATCCTTCCCCAACGTGACTCAGTCAGGAAGCATCACTGGAGCTCTGCAAATTAATCAGAACCTGCTGATTTTGCTTCAGCAACTCTGGCCTTTATGTTGTGCATGCTAATGAGCAGAGGAATATAAGTAGAAAAAAAAAGTCTATTGTTTTCCATTCTCTGCAAAATGGATAATGTGGAGCACGACTAGTAAACACCATTTGCCCCTGGAATAAAACACCAGTGCTTGATCATCCCAGCCTAGCCCATTGTCTTTAAGAATGACAGTGTTTACAGCAGCATCCAGAATGGGTCTCCTGACCCCTGGGCTGCTGTTTGCTCCCACGCCCACCACAGTGAGTGGGGGAGCGTTTAGTGAAGGCAGAAGGGTGCACACAGTGAATGCGAAAGGCCATGCAGCGAGTGGGGGCCGCACAATGAACTGGGGGGCCCCGCACTGAGGGCGTTTGTGCAGCAGGCATGCCAACCATCCGAGGCTGACCTCACAGAGGAAAACGTGGTTACCATGCCCCTTCCCTCCCCAGGGCCCTCACACCTTCCAGGCCTGAAGGACATGAATCTGACCCATGTGGTGGTATTTCCTGGGTCCCGCATGTTCACAGAGTCATTCTCCATCCTGCCTACTAGAAATGGACTTCAAGTGGCTGACCAGCAAGGTTAATCCTCACACTACATACTCAGAAATCCTCACTGCTGCACCTCCAACAGCCCTGCCTCCTCACAGAACCTTCTCATGTTGTCCCAGCAGCCCCACCCTGCCCCTCTCATGGTCTGGCATCTCCGTAGCTCGGCCCCTGAGCCCAGGTTATAATCCCACACCCCGTCACTCTCTGAGACAGCTGGGAGCCTGGGCCCGTGCCCTCCACTCTCACCTCAGGACAATGGGCCCTTTCTGTCAAATGCCACTCTCCTCTTGGAGTTCACAGTCCCCAGCGGTCACTGGTATCCACCAGAGGGCCTCGTCAGAATCCAGGGCAAGCTCTGAGAGTCAAGACCACTGACCCATTACACTCCTGTCCCTTCTGAGAGGCTGGACTCCAGGACATCCTGCAGCCTGGCCCCAGGAGCCTGGGCTCTGGCTCAAGCTCTTGGGTTCCCTAAGCTGGGGCTGCTGCCCCTCTGTGCCCCATTCTTATCCTCGTCTCCTGCTCACTCCTTGCTCTTTTCCCCATCACCTGGTCTCAGCCTGTCCTGCCTTAGACACAGTCAGCTTTCTCAGGAATAACCAGTCTGTCCTGAGAGACCCTGCCCACCAAGAGACCCCACCCACTGAGAGAGAGACCCCACCAACTGACTGTGACACCAAGCTGGCTAGGCAGCAGGTTCTATCAGGCGATTCCTGGTGGCCTGGGAATAGCCTCTATTTATCTTTACTCTGCCAGCTATGGTTTCAGGGTTCAAGGGACCTGGGGAGTTTCAGACTGTGATGGGGGGAACCAGGCATAGGTCCTGTCCCTCCACATCCTGGTGCTCAATACATGCCCACAACAGTCCCACATAACCAAGCACCAGAAACACCAAAAGGATCTGCTGTCATCTTACGAACCTATTTCATTGCCATGTTGAAAGTCTTCCCATCCACCAGCTTCTTCCTTGGTGGCAGAAGACAGAGCAGGCAGTAAATTCTATGGACTTCCTTCAGCTTATGTCATTTATACAGTCAAAGTGAGAGACAGACAGATGGACAGATAGCCCACCAGATGGACAGGCAGACATATATAGATCATGTACCAGCTCAATAAAGCAACAATAATTGCTATTCAAAACATTTCTTCCAGAAAAAGACAACGACTCCTATGCATGTGAGTATTTTAATTCAGAAAAGGAAGTACCTGACTAAAATTACATATCCATCAAAATTGCTTTTCTGTCAATAGACAGAAGCTCTGTCACATCCTCTTGCCAAGATACAGAAGGGGTGAAAAGAAAGTGCCCACAAGTCAGGTGTTTCATGGATGCACATCTAATAGCAACTGAAAAGTGCAATGCCTGCCCTCACACAGGCTGAGTTTCCCGCAGCCAGCAGTGCCGGCAGCTGCCACATCTAACAGCCACTCTTGTCCACTCCTGTGATGGTGTCATGGCGAAGCCAATAACTTCACTCCCTCCACCCACAGCACAGATGATGACTTTGCGGGAGGAGCCCAGATAAACACACACGAACTTGGTCTGCTCGCAAATGTGGTCTTACAGGAACCCAATGCTCTGACACTGGGATTTTTTGTCCTTATTAGAAGATGCTATTTTTAGAGCCATTAGTTTGCTTTGGAAGCCTTCTCCATTGCCCGTGCCACTTACAAAGAAGCTAGAGATTCCACACAGAGAACACACAAAGTCCTTGAAAGGCAAAGACAGTGTTACTGACCCGCGTGGGTGAGCGACGGCCCTTTGGTTGTAAGAAACCAACCACAGCCAACTTAGACAGGAAGGGAAGTCCCTAGAGAAATGACAGGGATGGCAGAAAGTGAGAAGAACAGAGGCGGGACACAGGACACGTGCGGGTGGAAAGGCACAGAGCTCCCGTCATGTAGGCAGCAGAACAGTGGATTCCAATGGCACTGTCCACTTCCTATCACACCTCTGAGTTTCCCCTCAACCTCACGCGTGCCTCCAGAGAGGGCCTGATTCACCTGGCCCCCTGGCTGCCCACTGGGATCAGGGTGCTGTTAGCAAAACAAGGGGATGCCAAATTCACAACCGACACGGGGCACGGGACAGGCATCTGCATCTGCACCTGCTGCCCAGAGCTGAGTGTGAACACAGCTCAAGCAGGTTCATTCAGCTTCTGAGTTATCGGTTCTTCCAACTGCCTCCTCCTACTGGCCAACCCCAAGAGGGGCAACACCTCCATCTCCGCTTCCTCTCTCCCTTCCTTTCCTGGGATTTTTGCTCCTGACTCCATTCATTCACAGTGGCCCTGGTCACTCTGTGGCCCTTTGGGACTCCTCAGCCTCTTCTCTGTTTCTTCTATACTGGGCCCCGCAGTCTCTCCCTCTCAGCCACTCCTCCACCCCCACACCACGCATGGCCCTGGTTTCCATCACACAGTGTTCTGCTCTTTCTCTTCTTCTCTCTCAGTCCAGACCTTCCTTCCTTGTTTGGACTTTGCTTTCCACCTCCCCGAGGGCAGTCTTTCCCCTGCTGTGGCACAGGCTCATCACCCTCAGACTGATTCCCTAAGAGAGCCCCTCGCCTCCCCTTCCCTGTAACAATCCACCTTCTGAGCCCACACCTCAGCTATGAGGTGTCACAGGCACCGTCTACACCACTTGGCGTCCAATGACATGCACAAAGTTTACATTCAGGGCCAGGCGCAGTGGCTCACACCTGTAATATCAGCACTTTGGGAGGCCAAGGCAGGCGGATCACTTGAGGTCAGGATTTCGAGACCAGCCTGGCCAATATGGTGAAACCCCATCTCTACTAAAAATATAAAAGTTAGCCAGGTGTGGTGGCACATGCCTGTAATCCCAGCTACTTGGGAGGGTGAGGCAGGAGAATCGCTTCAACCTGGGAGGCGGAGGCTGCCGTGAGCTGAGATCATGCCACTGCACTCCAGCCTCGGCTACAGAGTGAGACACTGTCTCATGAAAAAAAAAAAAAAAACAAGTTTAAACTCAGACCACTTGCTTGTCTGGAGACCGGCCTATTGACGTAGCGGGCAGGCCTCAGAAACCTGGTGGCTCCCTTCAGGCAGGTGTGAATGTGGCAGCTGGAGTAATCCGCCTGCAATCTGCAGCTGAAGCAAATACCCAGTCATCTTCCAAAGTCTGCTGCAAAAGAATCTCCTCAAGGTTGTCACCACTTCTTCCTCGGCACTCTGTCCCCTCACTTTCGTGTGGCAGAGGCCGCAGTATCAGTCAGGCACACAGCAGTAATGTCAGCTTCACTTGGAAGGTTCTCATTTCACCAATCTTCCATTCTTTATTTTTCCCTTTGATAGCCTCCTCTCCTTCCTTCCATCCCACATCTGCCTCACTCTGACTTCACCCTGTTTTCCATGAGCATCAGGGCAATTCACAAATGTTACTGCAACCCTGCCTAACGCAGGGCGCCATGCCCCGCAGCACGGCATCCTGCAGGCTCACATAAAACTACCCACTGAGCCAGATGGGAGTTACCCACCTTCACCAAACCCCATTTGAAAACATCTGTTAAGTTAAAAAGAAGTTTAAGAATAAAGCAGTCTAAGCACAAGCTCACTATCCCACATACCTTTATGCAAAGATCAACAAGGCAAAAATCCCATATCAGAATAAAGCATCCCAGGAAAAATTCCCAAGCCCATCTTAAAGACTTATATTGAACATCTGACACAGGAATCTCCACATTTAGAAAAACGCAGGGTTTTCCTATGCTAAAGAACGGGAAAGTAAAGGACTAGAAAATAAAAGACAGGAAAATTATCTTTTGCTTTAAAGATTCTAAATTAATTCAAAATACAGAATATTGAAATATTCACCAAACTTAATACTTCACTCTGATGAATTTCAGAATATTTCAACCTGATTCATTGTTCTTCTTTTCTTTCTACCCTGAGAGCATCATCCTAGAGATTTCTTTCTTTCTTTTCTTTTCTTTTGAGACGGATTTTCACTCTTGTCACCCAGGCTGCAGTGCAATGGTGTGACTTTTGGCTCACCACAACCTCCGCCTCCCAGGTTCAAGCAATTCTCCTGCCTCAGCCCCCCAAGTAGCTGGGATTATAGGTACCCGCAACCATGCCCGGCTAATTTT